AACGTCAGTGGGACCCAGCGCCTCCCAGCGGAGCTCTAGTGAAATAGGGTCCAACTCTGGCTGCTGCTGAATATCTGGCCTGGACTCTTTTTTTCCTTCCTGGAACAGCTTCAGATCAATAGGCTTAAAGAAAGAGGTCTTAACTTGCTTTGGCTGAGAAAAGCCTCTTTTCAAGGTGTGATGTTTTGCCTTTCCACTTTAAGACCAGGGAAGAATTTGGGCCCTTACTGACCTGTCCTTCTTCAGGGACGTGAGCATTCCCTATAGATTAGGGCTCTTCTCATCCTCCTATTTTAATTTCTAAAATCTTAGGATCAGAGTCGATTGTCATGGTAGCTGAAAAATAAATTCTTTTGTAAGCATATACAATTTGCTCCCCACCAAGAATTAGTAACAAGGGTTGAAGACATTCTGCTTGAGCACTTGATTTTCCTGGGATCTGACTGGCTGACCTTTGGATGGTGGATCCTCTATCTAGGAATTTTACTGATTGCTTGTACTTGCCACTTTGTCTAAGAGTTCTTGTAGAGGGCACTTCCTTCTGCTTGAACTGCTCAAGGATGCTGAATACTTCACCATCCCATTGCTAGTTTCTCTGTCTCGGAGTTAACTACAAAACTTTGGGGAGAGCAGTGGAGTTGCTCCTGGACCTGTGGCTACTTATTATTATTACCTAAAGAAAACCTCTTTCCCCATTTGTTTTGTTTTAGGGACCGGACCTAACACTACAGTGTCTTTCACCAAATTAAACCCTTACTGTTTCATCACACTTCTTAATGAGACCTATTTAGACTTTCTACTCTAATCAAGCTAATCTGCTTACTGGACATGACATATATACTTCCACTTATATGCCTTTGCACATGCCCTACTCTCTGCTAACATACTCAGTCCAAAAATTTTTCCTTCAGAAAGCCTTCTTTGACCTAGGGACTTCTAAATAATTATTGACACAGTACCATATGAGCTTTCGTATGTTGTTTACTCATTTGTATATTTATTTATATTTATGTTACTTTGTAAATTTGTTTTGTAGTTGTTTTCTGTGTGGAATCTGTCTCCTATGTAGGTTGTAAGCTCCTTGAGAGCAGGAACCATGTTATCCCTTTACTTTTGTAAACCACACCCTCCACTATTCCTTCACAATGCCTAGTGCTATTCATTATGTGATCATTGGATTTGACTGACATACTTAAAGAGTTGGAACAGGTTTACTGTAGACTGCAGAGGAAACAAAAGGTCTTACAGTATCTTTTTGTAACTATCTCAGTCTCTTCTGGTCTGCCCACCCTGGATTCCATATTGCTCTTCCTGCTTGTCTCTTTCTCCCTTTGCCTCCATTCTATGCAGCATATAGTAAGGCTGTCTGCTTCCACTCAAATAAGTGGGTACTTCTCTAGCCATTTTTCTTTTCAAGGGCATATAATACTAAGCTAATCTGCCTTTGCTTCACTCATCAAGCAGCCTTCTGGGTCAGTTTTTGTATCTTTTGCCTTGATGTCCCATTCTCTTCCACAGCACTAGGGTCTCATGAATTTTTCTAATTTTTTTTGTCGTTGACGAATTGTTTCATTATTAAATATATGCATGTATCCAACTGCTCATATTTCATGTGTTCTTTCTGATTTTATCCCAGACATACGTAGATACTCTCCTTCTAGGAAATTGTGTCAAAAGTATTGGAAGAAGCCTCCGTGAGATATACTTTTTATTTCTTTTTTTTTTTTTTAGTTTAAGTTCCAGTTAATCAGTGTAAATTAGTTTCAGTGTGCAGTATAATGATTGAACACTTCCATATATGACCTGGTGCTCCTCACAACTTGCAGATACATTCACTTTATACTGTATTTTGCCCCCAGTGGTAGTAATAATAGTTAACACTACACCTCAGGAAGTTTGAAGACTTTTGACATTTGGGGTAATCTTTTTTTTTTTTTTTTTTTGTTTACTTATTTGAGAGAAAGTGCCAGTGTGGGAGGGGTGGAGAGGGAGAGGGAGAATCCCAAGCAAGCTCCCGTGCTGTCAGCGTGAAGCCTGAAAGAGGGGCTCAATCCCACCAACCATGGGATCATGACCTGACCTGACACCAAGAGTCTGAGGCTTACCAACTGAGACACCCAAGTGCCCCTAGGGTAGTGCTTTGCTTATGCTTTTGTTTTGTTTTTAATCCTACCTTGTTCCAAAGGGATTTGAGGCTGTTGAGTTTGAGGCTAGCCAGTCCCCTCACAGTTGAGACAAAACTAAAACTGTGTAGTTTCTGTACAGGAGTTTTTCTTTAGCAGCCAAAAAAAAAATCTTCAGTGACTGGGAGGCATCAGAGCATTGGTCAAAGAGCATTCTGTCTAGATCTGTTGCTTTCAGAGTCATCAAAGCATACCATTTTGATAGTTTGGAGGTGTTTTTGTTTTTTGTTTTTTTTGAGAGCATGAGCTGGGGAGAGGGACAGAAGAAGAGAGAATTTTTTTTTAATGTATGTTTATTTTTTAATGTTTATTCATTTTTGAGAGACAGTGTGAATGGGGCAGGGGCAGAGAGAGAGGGAGACACAGAATCCAAAGCAGGCTCCAGGATCTGAGGTGTCAGCACAGAGTCTGACGCGGGGCTCGAACCCACGAACCGTGAGATCAGGACCTGAGCCAAAGTCGGACGCTCAATAGACTGAGCCACCCAGGTGTCCCAGAGAGAGAGAGAGAGAGAGAGAGAGAGAATCTTAAGCAGGCTCAATACTCAGCACAGAGCCTGACACAGGGCTTGATCCCATGACTCTGGGATCCTGACCTGAGTCTATATCAAGAGTCACGTGCTCAGCTGACTGAGCTGCCCAGGCTCCCTTGGAGCGTATCTTTTTAGTTTGAAATCCCACATCCTATTCTGTTATTAAAACCACATGGTTGGGCGGGGTGGAGGGGCGGTGTGCCTGGCTGGTTCAGTGGGAAGAGCATGGGACTCTTGATCTTGGGGTTGTGAGTTCAAGTCCCATGTTGGGTAAAGAGATTACTAAAAAAAAATGAACTTAAGGGGCACCTGTGTGGCTCAGTCGGTTAAGCGTCCGACTTCAGCTCAGGTCATGATCTCATGGTTTGTGGGTTTGAGCCCCGCATCGGGCTCTGTGCTGACAGCTCAGAGCCTGGAGCCTGTTTCAGACTCTGTGTCTCCCTCTCTCTCTGCCCTTCCCCTGCTCACGCTGTCTCTATCTCTCAAAAATAAATAAATGTAAAAAAAAAAAATTAAAAAAAATGAATTTAACCCACTCATAATCTTGTATACTTAGATATTTCACCAATGTAAGGAAAGCATGAGAAAACTACTTGGGCAATGTATTGATCATTGCTGATGTCCAGAGTGAAATGGTCTTGAAGAATTAAAGGAAGTAGATTCCCCAGCCCACACCACCCCCAATGCAAAGAATAGTAGTTAAGAGATAATAAGGGTGTTTGGTTCCTAAAGGCCAGCACCAGAGACACCTTTCTGACTCAGACAGTAGAGGAAGGGACTCGATCTAGGGGTTCTGAGTTCAAGCCCCCACCTTGAGGATAGAGCCTACTTAAAAAGTAAAAAGGGCAGGACCATGGTTAATGTTATTGCAAGCAGTAAATCAAACTACTAGATCATTGCAGATAGTAGAAATTAGTAGAGCAGGCACACCCGTTCCTTTCCATGCCTGTAACTAGTTTGATAGGTTTATTTTGTACCAAATAAGCAGAAGGAACCTATTGGTTTTTATTCCAGAAACATAAAAATTAAGATCATTGCTGTATGTGCATTTACAGACGCACACCAATGGCACGGCTGGTATATTGTTTTGGTAAATTCTAATACCTCAAATTGATAATGATAATGGCAGTAAGTAGCCAAGGGGAAATTTGGATTTTGCTCAATATACAGGGAAATGTTTTTGGCCAAGTCTTACCACTCCTGTGGCACAAAGTATTGCTTTGATTCCTTACTGACCCTGAGTGCCTACTATGTTTGACTATGCAAATATATTATTCCCTGAGAAATTCCTTTTTATGATCTGGAAGGATTCACTTCACTCAATTTCAAAAAGCAAAACCTTCCTGTAGCAAGTTGCAATAGGGATTTAGACTAGGAAACACGGAAGTGTAAGGCCGTCCTCACTAATGGCCTTCCTCACACATAATCTCTTCTGGAAGACCTCTATCATGTGTTCTACTCATATTCATACATTGTTTGAGTCTAGTGATGAATTTGGGGCCCTTAAAAAAAAATTCCTAAATCCTGTTCATTTATAAGAAACTCCCAGTCCCGGATACTGTCAAACTCAAATTGGAAAACTTGTAAGTGAAGCATTAGGATTGGAAGCACCTAGAATAGATACATAGCTTATGTTGGTCTTACGCTGATATTATGAGGAATGAGGTGTCTATAAAGGATTTTCCTAAGACTGGGAAAATCCACTCTCATTCCAAAAAATTGACTTTTGTTGCTGCTGTGATTTTGGTAAGGTCTCTTCACTCCTATGAGAGGGGGGTGGTGGTTGCCTCCAACTACACTAAGTCCTCTTCCAGCCCATGGTGACTGGGGACATTCTGGTTATATGAAGTATGTGAGGGCTGGACCTAAGTAGTTCGACGGAACTCCGGAAAGGGCTTCAAATTCCTTAAGCACTCCTTCCTCTTCCCCGTCCCCAAGGCACCGGCCCGATTCAAGATGGCTTCCCTGAGACAGGTAACTAAATGTTTTAGTTTAGAGCGCCCCCACCGGCGGGGGTCAAAAAAAAAAAAAAAAAAGATACCGAGAGGCCTGAACGCCTGTGAACTGAGCAGTCAGAAGCAAGCTGCCGCCAGATTTTATTTTCAATCAGGCATATCTGTGGTTGCCTACGTACCCTTCTCAGCCTTTTAGGACCTCCCACCCTCCAGAGACTTCCTGGATGGCGCTCACACTACCTTGCTGGAAGAGGCCGGGCGTCAGCCCTACCATTGGTGGGTGGGAGCGGAGGTGGGAGGAGCCGAGGGAGAATGGACTACCAGCAAGCTAGATTGAGGCGAGGGCTGGCCATGCTCCGCCGGAAGGCGCCTTGTTCTCCGAAAGGGTGAGTTGAAACGCTGGCTGGAAAGGAAGCACCAGGACTTGTTCAGGTAGGCTTCCCGCTCATGCCTGCTCACCAGTGCTGGTCCAAGACTCTTTGCAAAACTAAAGCTCTTAGAATTGGTTTCCATAACTCATCCTCCTCCTCGCTCCCCCGCTCCTTGCCCGTCCCCCAGTTGTGAGGGATCAGGTGCTGGGTGATGCTCTGGACTGAACCATTCTCCTTTGTGAAAGGCCGGGGGAGAGGGCGGCTGCTGGGCCGCGGGGCCCCAGCCGGGCCAAGCCGCGAAGGGGGCTGCCCCGCCGCTGTGGGGTTTTTAGGGCTTGTCATTGCATTACAGGGCGTGGTGTCGATTTGGGGCAGCTCCTTGTTCTGCTTGCCCCTTTAGCGGAGAGAAAACTCCCCGGCTCCGTTTGGTTATTCCATACTTTGGACTCAGAAGTGGGAGGTTAGGGTTTTTTGTGTTTTTTTTTTCTTTTTTGTCTGCTTTCTTGTATTTTAGTAACAAAAGTGGGTAGGAAAGCTTAGGGCGAGCGTGTGCATATTGTTATACATTATTAGGTGTAATTTCGTGGGTCTCTGGGAGGGCAGATCGGGTTTTTGGAGAGTATTTAGAGATGGTGGGAAGAGAGGAGCTCAAGCCTTGGCGTCTCCATTGACAGGTCTGCAGAGCTTACTGGTCTTCTGATGCATTATGTAAACTCTTCACTAGCAGAAGACCCCTCCCCCTGCCTCGGAGCGAATGCAATTTCTTTATTTACCTGTCTCTAGTGTCGCAGGAAATTTTCCAGCCATTGCAGCAACTGTGCAAGTGCAGCGGCTCTTGCCCTTAAGGGACAGTCGTGAAGTGATTAAGGTCTTCAGAGAAGTGTATAGTGGGGGTGTCTAGATGGACCAGTCTCTTTTCAATGACTGAGCATAGTGAGCTAGGGGTCGAAGACTTAGAACTCGATGTCTTGTCCTAGTGGAACGCCCCACGTTGAAGCCACAGGAGCTGCATTATTGGTAACTACTGCATCCTACTCTCACACTAGCATCCACAGATTACTTACTCTTCACGTTGTTCTGAGCCTTTGAGTTCAGTCAGGGATTCTCTAACAGGGTTATCCTTAGAATCGGCTGAGGCCCTATCTGGTGTGGGACACGGTGGATGGTAGGGGGGGAGTTTCGGATTTGAGTAAGTTCCTCTGTTAGTTAATTAGATCATGCCTCTGCTTAGGAATTTCTTTTGTAGTGGTCACCAAATAGCTTTCAGAACAAATTGTGGTGTTTTGGACTTATCCCACCTCTTAAAAGAGAGTTATGATAAAACATTTTCTACTTAAGAAGACCTGGGTTACAAGAGTGGCACACAAGTGGGTCTGCAAGGCATGATGAAGGACATTGGCCCAAAGAGAGGGTGGGCGAGTGTGATGGGACAGGCCTGGGGGAAGGGTTAAAACTGAAGTGGTGAAGGAGTAATGGATGGAATCAGGGATTTGATGGAGCAGTGTAGGGGTACTTGCACAGTTCACACACCTTCCCCATGTTTGATCTATCCTGTGCGTCTGGCCTTTTGATTTTGTCAGTTTGGAAACTGACATGGATAGAAAATGATAGAAAGGGAGAGAAATCTACCGAGCTGATTGTGAATCACCAGGAAACAGACCTTGTATTTTCTGGGACAGTCTTCTCTACAGCACCACCAGGTGATGAGATGGAAGAATCTTGGCATTGTGGTCACCACCACTGCAGAGTTTAGTTATAACAGGAAAAAACTTGACATTTTATTTGAAGAATCTAATAGTGATAGGTAAGATAGAGTTCTGATAGGTTAGGTAGGATGGTGAGGGGGAATCAGTCTTTCAAAGAAACTAATGTACCCCTCTCCTTTGAAAAGGGTGAGATGTTTTTAACCTAAACTACCACTTAAGATTAATTTGTGGTGCCAAGAACTAACTGTATTTGCTTACTGAAAGAATGAGATTTGATATTCTCATCTGTGGAAGGACTGTAACATTTTAACATAGCATGGAGATAAATGTTTATGCTTTGAAGATACTGTTTGTCCACTGCCTTGCAAGAGTTAAATTGTCTTCTAAGCCTACATTGAGCCTGATACCTGGGGAATAAACAAGACAAATATTTTCTGGCTCCTCCGCCCTTACCCCTAGGAGTCACTCTACTTCTGGACTTGCATTTGGGCAAGTCCCTGATCTGTGGTCTTCACGTGACCTACCTTGCCCTACTGTGACTCACCTGTATTTACTGTTTTACCTTAGCAGTCGATTCATTGATATAGTATCATTTCATATTTTACTTGGTTGAACTTTTCATTATCTCTTCAGTTGATTTTTTTAGTCTTTTCCTCACAAAGTTGGTGATCTTCCTTTCATCCTTCTATTATGATTTTGTTCACTTTGCTTTTTGTTTTAATTCACTGATATTGTGCCTTTTTTACTTATGTCTTGTTGAGACCTTTATTAAAAAAATATTTATTTTTGAGAGAGAGCGAGCGAACAGGGGGGCGTGGGGAGGTGCAGAAATAGAGGGGGACAGAAGATCCGAAGCAGGCTCTGCTCTGACAGCAGCGAGCCTGATGCAGGGCTCAAACTCATGAACCATGAGGTTGTGATCTGAGCTGAAGTCAGACATTCAACTGACTGAGTCACCCAGGTGCCCCATTGTTGAAGCCTTTTAAGATATGTAAAGAGACCCTAGTTTTTTTTGTTGTTGTTTTTTTTTTAATTTTTTTTTCAACGTTTATTTATTTTTGGGACAGAGAGAGACAGAGCATGAACCGGGGAGGGGCATAGAGAGAGGGACATACAGAATCAGAAGCAGGCTCCAGGCTCTGAGCAATCAGCCCAGAGCCCGACGCGGGGCTCGAACTCAGGGACCGCGAGATCGTGACCTGGCTGAAGTCGGACGCTTAACCAACTGCGCCACCCAGGCGCCCCAAGAGACCCTAGTTTTTAAGATGTGTTCTTTTGGTACCTTGTACTCAGTTGTATATTTATAAAACAAAGCTGTTGTATCAACCGTTTATTTTGGCCTAAAGGTTTATTTAATCCTTTATTACATTCTGAATTTTATCCTGGATAACCTTTCCTCACCTTAACCTCTTGTTTTGTTTTGTTTGTGCAAGTGTATCAAGTTGTAATGTAGCTTTTTTTGTGTGTTCTTTCACTCGATTTCATATTGCCTTTAAGATTTTCATTGTATTTATGTTGCAAAGTAAGTCTATGTCTTTGTAATTACTGGATGTTTTAAATTTAAACTACAAAGTGTGTTAGTCTCCAGATTTCTCATTAAGCTCTTCTGTAGGTAACGTTTCTTTTGCCCTTTTATGATCCATTACTTTCTATCCTTCACATAGGCTCTTGGTTGTTTAATGTCACATGTAGCATAAGTGGTCAACTTTAAAGTATCTTTTTTTTTAGACTGATATTCTATGCCTTTTATTCAGTTGTTTTTTTAGACTAACTTTAAAATATCTTAATTGTTGCCTTAAGAGTGCAGCAGGAGACTTAAAAAAAAAAAAAGCAAGTCATTTTTACCCACCCATGTATGATATAATATAATAAAAAAAAAAAAATCCAGCAGCACAAACAGAAAGTAGACTGGCATAGATAATTGTTTTACATTTGTGTTCAGCATCAATGGATATATTGGAATATATTCCAAGCAGTAGAGCAGCACAGGGAATCTAGACAATGTTCTAGCGCCTTCAAATTCTGACTATCCAAGTATATTCTCACTTGTTTGTTTGATAAGAATTTCCAGAGCATCACACTCACTCATAATCAAGTAAATGTACAAAAAGATTTCGAAGACAATTTTAAAAATTAGGGAGCCTGGGTGGCTCAGTCGGTTGAGTATTTGACTTTGGCCGAGGTCATGATCCCGTACTTCATGGGTTTGAGCCCTGTGTTGGGCTCTGTGCTGACAGCTCACGAGCTTGGAGCCTGCTTCAGATTCTGTGTCTCCCTCTCTCTCTCTGCTCCTCCCCTGCTTGCACTCTCTCTGTCTCCCCAAAATAAATCAACATTAAAAAAAAAGTTTTAAAAAGTACTTATTCTTATGCATAGTTTTTAGGAAAAGATTGGCTTTATCATTGAAAGAATGGAAACATCCCTGAATTATCTCCTCTGTACATTTCCATAGACATTTACTGTGTATGGCTTCATTTCATTTGGTCTTTTCAAAGTTTATTTCATTTTAAAAAGATAATTAAATGACATACTACTGAAATTACTACAAAATAATAAGACTGCTTTTTTTTTCTCCTCTGTATGTCAGCTACTTAATCCTTTGTCAGTAGTTCTAATCCTTTTGGTAATGTCCCAATATTCTAGTAATTTGTAATTCCATAAAAACACCTTTTTGTTTTGAGAGTCTACATTTCTTCTAAAACTCTGTATCTTTCTGAGAAAGGATATATTAACTGAATTCTTAATTTCATCATTCAGGAGCTGTAAAGTCTTTCAAGTTTCTCAAGTTGTCTCTCATGGTGGTTATAGAAACCTTTGGAATATCCTGCTTTTCATTTTTTTTTTTTCTTCCCACGACATACTTTAGGGATACACTACATCTTGGAGATTTATTCCTTTGGGACATGGGTATTCAGAGGTACATTGTCTATTAGTGACATGGGAATTTCATTTTGGTTGTTCTAGAAGAAATCAGTGGTTTCAGTGGTTTAGCTGTCTATTTAGAGCCCAAATCATAACAGAATTTCCTAATAGAACGTAATTTTCACTTTCTGATACAGATATCAGATACACATCAGTAAAACATCTACCTACGTAAACTGATAGGAAGATTTTTCTGGATTTTTATTTTTATTTATTTATTTTTAAATGTCTTTATTTAAAAAAAATTTTTTTAAATGTTTTTATTTATTTTTGAGACAGAGAGAGAGCATGAGCAGGGGAGAGGCAGAGAGAGAGGGAGACACAGAATCTGAAGCAGGCTCCAGGCTCTGAGCTGTCATCACAGAGCCCGACACAGGGCTCAAACTCACGGACTGTGAGATCATGACCTGAGCCGAAGTCAGACACTTAACCG